AAAATATGCCTAATGTATAAACACTTAATTTACTGTATGTGTATGATTTTTTAATTATATCAATTAAGTTAATTTAGTTAATTATTTATTTAGTTAATACAATAGAAAAGTACATATTATCATAACAGAATAAAATGATATAATATTGACATATTAAAATGTACGCAAAACAATGTACATGTATATTGTTCGCTGATAATCTACATAGTTTATTGTATAACAATTTGTGACAAAGTTTATCTTGTTTTATAACCACAATGTTAAGTTAAATAAATAATGCAAAATTATTTGTTTGTGATAAATAGCACAGTTTAATTGTGCTAGCTGTAAATAAATACACTTGTTTTAATGTAATATTTTTTTAATGTAATATTTTATAAATACGTAATATTCTAAAATATATTTATGTTAGTGTATTTAAATTTGAAAGTAAGCACTATGGTTATTGTTAAAAATACTCATACTTAAAAAGTTTAAAACTTAATCATCTTAAGAATTTGTTTTTGTAAATTAATCATGTTTGAAGTGCTTTTTTTATCATAATGGCATTAATTGATTAAAATTATAAATGCTTATATTAATATAACAATAATATAAAGAAAAATTACTATATAAAGAAAATGAATTATTCATTTAACAATTATATTTTTTATACAACAATTTAAAATTGTTTTAATTATGAACTGTAAGTAATCCATAAAAATTTACAATTATTTATTCAAATATTATAATATTTAATTTTTATAAAACAGATTTATTATTGATCACGGTGATATTTGGGGCTGGCCTAATTAATTTATCATGGGCGTCAGAGTTTTGCCCACAAGATGAGCTAGTGAAGCCGTGCGTATGCGAAAAGGACCCTGATACAAACCAACTGACCTTGGTCTGTGACCAATATTGGATCCGCAACGATGAATTTGATGTTTTATTCAAGCGTTTGAGTGGTCGGTGACTTAAATTCCACGAGCTCATCATAGGGCAAACCAAGATCTATGAGCTGGGTCCAAATCAGTTTCATGATGTGCAGTTTGAGAAAATTACACTCGACAATCTGAACAGGGTCGAAAGAATTCACAAACTGGTAAATAATTTTGAAAATTAAAATTAATAATTAGAATCCTAAAGGATAATGCTAAGTACATGTATTATGTTACTTTTGTCAAATAATATGCTGCAATAAAAACAAGCACAGCATTTCAAAAATTAACAATAACTTTCTCAATATTTTCAGTATTAAGCTACTAAATTAACTTGAACATTTTATTATATATATTTTGTATAACATTAAAACACCATAGGCTTTTAATGGCACCGCAAACAATTTGATCTCGTTCAAAAGCAGAGACGCGCCGTTGGGCTACTATAAACCGTCGCCCGATTACAACATATACCAGGCGTTGAGTGCTTGCAATAATTTACGGTACATTGACATCGAGGGAAGCGGCTATTCACTGTAATAATTTATGTAAAGTAATAATCCTTCATCAGAAAAATGCATAAATGTAATCCTTCAAAATGCGTGAATGTTGCACATGCCTAAAACTATTCACACACTTATGCTTAAAGTTGTCATTTTGTGGACGTAATTT